CTCTCAGAAATTCCAGAAGAGAGAAATCTATTGGATTTTGTTTAATCAGCATTACTCAAACTTAGAAGCCATACAGCTCAGTGTTAAGATCAATTACCAATTCCTTGGGTAAGTTACTGAAATTCCTGTAAGCATCAGTTTCTATTTGTATAACATGGACTCTATACCTGCCTCAGAAGAATTTTGGAAGGATGAATGAAAGGTGATAATAAATGTAAAGTGCATAGCACAACGGCTAGCACAGAAACAGAATAAGCACCATATACATCACTGTTAGCAGTATTACTGATCCTTCATTCTTGACCATAAAAATGTTTTTCCTGGCAAAGATTAACATCCCCTGGATTTGCGAGTATTACATAAAAGAAGTTTTAAAAAATATTATTTTATAAACCTTCAAATCTAAAGATCTGCATAGTAGATTACTCAGTAAGTGTCATAATTCTCTTCCTCTCCTAACAATAGGTGTTCCTACAAGCACTCTAAGAATCTGTGTGGAGTTTTAGCACAGAAGAGAACAAAGGGTAGAGGTGCCTCTTTTTTTTTTTTTCCATAACCTTCCAGAGAAATTAAAAGGGCTCTTTTGGAAAATGTTAGGAAGAATCAGTGGTCTACAGGATACCCTCTGGCCAGACATCCAAGACTCTCCATTATCTGGTCCCACATGGCTTATCTAACATTAATTTCCTCTAAACTACAACACAGATATTCCACTTCTGTCAAGATAATCTCTTTACTATTTAACAATTATGATGTCTTTCTCCTCAAATCCATATTGCTTCATCTGCCTAAAATAAGCTTTTTTCTTTTTTCTCTTCTAATCAGGTAATTCCTGTACAATCTTCAAGGTCCAGTTCAAGTCTTCACCTATTTTACAAAACCAAATGTCACTCTAGCCTACATTTCTTTCACACTCCTCCAAACTTTTATACTACATTGTTTATATTTTAGTTTTGGTATATAAATACAGTTTTATATTTTTATTAGTTATTTTAAGTATTTAGGATCTTTCATAAACCAGCTTGACAGAGCAAGGGCTACATTTTAATATATTTTACAATTCACTAAGAAGGCATTTAATAAATTTATGATTGAATGAATGAATAATGAACAAATTATGTGCTAATTTTGCCAATTTTTCATGATGAAAGTAGAATTCTTTGAGCTAAGTGAGATTTTTGGTATCTTAATTTAATTTTTACATGCAAAATAATTATTTAAATGCCTATAACCACTGCTTTTTAATGTAGATTTTCTTAAAAATGCCTTTGAGCCAAAGAGAAAAAAATGCTGAAAAATTGTAATAGACAAAGGAAGTTAACAAATGCCAACTATCTTACTGATTTGTTGTTTCTACCATGTTTTGGGGTTCATTTATTGACTCATTAGGTATAAACAACCATACTTAGAGGGGGATTTGAGGGACTTACAGCAACAGGAAATGTTTCAATAATCCTGTGAGGAAAAAAAAGTAAAAAGTACAAAATTCAAAACATATAAGGTGGAAATGAAAATATGTACACCAAAAAATCTCGGCTAAGACGTGCCCCAGGAATGAGTTCAGAGCTTCTAGGTAAACAAAGTCTAAATTATTTGAAGATCACTGAAGGTCTCTGCTATTTTCATTTCCTGAAAATAAGAAATATAATGTTCTATGTTGTAATCAATATGCTTAATTTTGGCTTACTGGCTCTTGCTGCCTATCTGTTTCTTAGTATACTGACTTGTGAAATGAGCACAATGGTGTTATGTACCTTATCATAATCTTCTGATATTAAGGCTGTAGAACAGAGGCTACGTACTTTGATTATTCAATAAATATTATTATTATTGTCATTTTGAATATATAAAATATTGGAGTCCCTCTCTATTAGCAAATATATATTTGATTTAAATAAAACAAACAAACAAACAAAACACATTTGAGAATAAAGAAGTGAATAGTTCACATCTAATATCTAAATTGGATGTAAGGCTGTCATGCTAGATATCATCACGCTTCCATATGAAAGACTTGTGAGACCAGTATGTACTGCTTTCCTAAGAACTTATATTTGGTTGAGATTTCATTAAGTCAATAAGGTTTCATTTGGGGAGAATATTCTGGTTCATGTAATTTATTCAGAAACCAACTGTATCTAGATCACATAATTGAGAAAATAATATTTTATAAAAGTCATAATAATATATGGTGTAAAATTCTAACTTTTAAAGCAAGTTTTATTCGTTTAGAACTAACTCTGACATCCTATTTTAAGTCCAAGCTACATATTAATTATACTTTTTGTAGTAAGCAAAATCTTAAATTATCAACCATAAAAAACAATAGATATGTAGTAACAAAAATTAAGAAAATATAATTTCAGATCCAACATTAATTCATTTCTATGCAGAAATTACATTTTCCAGTTCCAGAAATTTTTAAAAACTCAAATTTTATTCTTTGCACAATCTTAACTAGAAGAAAATGTTTAAAAATACTTTAAAGAAGTTATTTTAAAAATTAACTTCAGAATTGAAGTCCAAAGGGAATGTAAATGTTATGCCATTAGTTAAGGGAAAGACTACCATTTTAAAAGAAATCTTATTATTATTCTATGTACTAAAATATAAAAAAATATATAAACATTATATGAAATACGTTTTTATCTATTCTAGTGTAAAATAATTTATTTTAGAAATAATTATTTTATACTGGATTACCAGCATAATTTCTTCAGAAATAAAAGCATGGTAATTTAAATTTATATACTTCACTTACTATTTAGACAATGATCCAACAAAAAGTATTACATTGTAAAACAGGATACCTAGAAAGTTAGAGAATCTGAAATTTAGAGTATAAATAACTCTGTTGATCTACAGTATGATAAATCTCTCTTCCAGATTTTTTGAGTAAATTTTTCAAATTTTACATTTATAAGAAACTGTTTAAGTATTAAATACATTACCCTACTAGATGTAGTGTACTTCTTAATAAGTCTTTTAAAATGATACTCTATTTCACATTATTGATTACATGAAAATATTAAATAATCAATAATAATTTCAATGCCATGAATGTCTACAAAGCTTACAAATGAATGCAAATACACAAAAGTAAATCAATCACCATTATCTTTTACCACTTATCTTGAATTTAAATAATATTATCTGAACAAGGCAAATAAAAATAGAAATGAACCCAACATTTTAAAATTTTGGCTTTCATAAATCTTTACTGAGACTGGATATACGACAGCCTATAAATCTCATATCGCCATAGAGAAAATTAAAGTTTCAACAATGACTCATAGACTATTATTTGATGGTACTAGCTATTTAGTATTATAAAAATAATAAAAATTCATTCATATCATTGTCCTGAATATATTGCCAGTGATATAGTACTCAAAGTATATTTTATGTTTTACTTTTTTAAAAAAAATCAAGATATTCACTGCCTTCCCTAAATGTTTGAACTTACAGAAATTACAAAATAAAGGGGAGAAGTAATAGGCTGGATTAAAGCAGAAAATCAATAGACCTTCAATGGCACTTCAGTGCCAATTCTGTAAATTCTTAGACCCAGGTGATTTTAACCTAGAGGTCTTTAAACTCATAATTTTAGAATTTGGATAAAATCATGGTACCACTTTCAAGGCATCAGTTTTTAAATTATCCTTTGTATTCACCTAGCACAGATAAAATAAACATTTCAAAACTATAAATGGCTGTGAAGAATAAAAATATCTACCTGTGTTTAGAAGTTTAAAATATTTACATTCTGCCATGTATAAACTAAAAGATACTTCCTTGAGAAGTTATAAAGGGTTACAAATTAAACTATTTTGACACTGACAAAGAGTATAAAATGAACGATTTTATATGGAATAACAACTACCTACTCATGATTTAAACATGGAAGGACTTTTTAAAATGGTAATTAAAAGAAAATTGAGTCTTGGCCCATAATTTGAAAATATATTACCTAATTATTAATTGCTTTGTTTGTATTTAATTAGACAGCCTTATATTTATCAATATATTGGTAAAATTATAATAGATTCATAACACTGCCTAGTATAAAATATTTTTTTCAATTCAGAAACATGAAATTAATAAGATTTTGAGCTAAATTTCAAATTTATTACAATGAACATAAATATTCTGTGAACTAATGAATAATACATTTCTTTTGAAGTCTATCAATACGATCACAAATTAAGCAGCTAATTATAAAAGGGCAAATGCAGAAACATTATAAACATAAAGTATCAAATAATTTTGAGGATTTAAACGAGGTTGAGGGGAAGAATTCACCTTATTTAACATTAAAGAATGTCATTTTTTTCCTACATCATGTCAGCCATTATTCAATCTTAAGAACTCACATTGTCTTTTATCAAGTAAAATTTTTGTTACAGAAAATCCCACACATTAAAAATAAACATTGGCCCTTTATGACATATATATAAATACTACACAAGTTATACAGAACATAATAGCTGATTTGTAACAAAGAACTGTTTGCTAGGTACAAAAGTTTACTTATACATATTTGTTGATAAAAAATGTTGAACATGACAAATTAACAAAACAGGAGTTTATATGCATAATAACTATACTAAAGGCTAAAAATATTATTAAGAATATGGTATTAGGAATTTTGAGAATATAGTTTCAATGTTTATACTTTATTTAAAAAGTGATATTATTTTAAATAGATTAAATTTCTGTAAGTTAATCAAATTTGTGTCTATAATTTTTTAAAGTGCACCATAAAAGAAATGAGTCACATAATCGCTCCTCAGTATAACACTAACAAACGAGTAATTCAATTATCTGATCAATCTAAAGAAGAGACTCTGACAGTCTTTAAATAAATAAAAGACAACTCTGTTATGTTTTAAGTATTACTTAGAAAAAAACTTTATATGCTAAAACTTTAAGGCTTCTTTTATAAGGAATTCATACTACACTGTGGATGTTAGTCTTTGATTTCCCAACTAAACACTCACTTGTTTGATGCGATCTGGGTTAACGGTGGTCTGGGGTTGTAGAATGCTGACTGGTTCTGTCTTGGCCACATTTTGGGGCATTTCTCGAATTTTTTCTGCAATGAATCCATGAACTGCATTCAGTGCTTCAACTGTTCCCTGGATCAAGCACACTCGTTCAGTAGTACCTGTGGATAAAAGATTAATTTTCAGAAAACTTCCCTTCTTACTTTGTATGTTCTTCAAAAATGCTGTATGGAGGTTCCTTCAAAAACTACAAATAGAACTACCATATGACCCAGCAACCCCACTACTGTGCATATACCCTGAGAAAACCATAATTCAAAAAGAGTCATGTACCACAATGTTCAGTGCGGCACTATTTACAATAGCCAGGACATGGAAACAACCTAAACGTCCATCAACAGATGAATGGATAAAGAAGATGTGGCATATATATACACAATGGAATATTACTCAGCCATTAAAAGGAAAAAAATTGAGTTATTTGTAGTGAGGTGGATGGACCCAGAGTCTGTCATACAGAGTGAAGTAAGTGTGAAAGAGGAAAACAAATACCGTATGCTAACGTATATGTATGGAATCTAAAAACATGGTACTGATTAGCCTAATGGCAGGGCAGGACTAAAGACGGAGACATAGAGAATGGACTTGAGGACACGAGTGGTGGGGGAAGGGGAAGCTGGGACAAAGTGAGAGAATGGCATGGACATATATACACTACCAAATGTAAAACAGATAGCTAGTGGGAAGCAGCTGCATAGCAAAGAGAGGTCAGCTCAGTGCTTGCGAAGACCTAGTGGGGTGGGATAGGGAGGGTGGGAGGGAGGCTTAAGAGGGAGGGGATATATGTATGTATATGGCTGATTCACTCTGTGAATGGCTGATTCTGTTCTGTACAACAGAAACTAACCCAGCACTGTGAAGCAATTATACTCCAATAAAGATGTATAAAAAAAAAGATGTGTACCTAATTAAAAAAAAAAGGATGATATACTAATGCCAATAAAATAATGTTAAAATGAAGAACTCTAAATCCCAAAAAGGGCCAGCAGAGCCAGAAATCCTGAGAAGTTCTGAGTATATCATTCATTCACTGATATAACCAATACTTACTGAGCACGTATAAAAGAACTTTGGGTTAGAAACTGGTAACACAGATGTGAAGATCTATGCACCCAACTTTCAAAGCACATACTCTTATGGGCAAAAAACAGACATCAAACCAGAGAATTACAAGATACTATGATATGAAAAATAATGGCGGTGTCTACATGGGCAGCACATACAGTTGGTCTACAGTTAAAACATAATTTAAATCAGTGGGGAGAAGGAGTCTTGGAAAGTTTACATAGTAGGTAAATTTCTGAATTTTTACCACCCTTTATTCACTTACCCTGTTCTTCTTTTAATCACAGCAACAATGCTATCTGACATTTTGTATTTGTTTATTTTTTTACTTTTCTACTAGAATGCAAGCTCTAGGAGGACAGTTGATTAGTCTGTTTTGTTTTGTGCTACAGTCTCGCCAAAGCCTAGAGCAGTCCCTGGCACGTGACAGGTCCATGACAAATATTTATTGGAAAATGAATCAACCCTGCTTTTACTGATTATGTAATTTTAAAAAGATATAATATCATAATTAAAAACATTTTAAACTATTTTTAATTTGAAATTGATGAATAATTGATAAAGATACTATTAATATTATTTGCTTCATATCTGGTGAATAAAATGTAGACACATGATGTGAGACAAGACTAAAATGAAATTGGTTGGGTCTGATACACAGGTCCTTTAACCCATTTCATACTTTACAGATATACCTGAAGGCAATAAAAACAAATGATTAGCTTTTCAGACTATTTTGAGCCTCTCTGCAGCATCCTGATATTAAACTGTAATCTTCTGCTGAGCAGCCCAACACAACAAGCATGTAAACTTCTCAGATGTAACTATTCTTTTACTAAACAGTTATCAAAAAGTCAAAAGAATGGCATTTTAAAATTTATAAAATATTTGTTTTTGAACTAATATGAAAACTTCCAAGTACTTAGCATGTATCCTCTTCATACCACAGTTTCAAAATTCTAAGCCACTCTATAAAATATTTTTAAAGTACATTTTGAAGGACAAAAGTGTGAAACTACACACATTAAAAAAAACTGCATGGCGTTTACACTGCTTTAAGGATTAACTGCCACATAAACCATTTTCCTAGCAGTTTTAAATGTTTAAAAGAATAGTAAAAGATTATCACTCTTACCTTTAAAAAATTAGATCACAAGAATTAGGAGCAGAAATAAAATAATATTATATGAATAATATTATATGAATCCACCTAAATTAAACTTTCCTGTTTTAAACAATGAAGATGCAAATTTATGAAAAGCTACCATTTCCTAATTTGTACAAAATATTTCAATAGAGAGCAATACCTTTCAACTGTAAGGATGGAGACAATCTGAAAAACATACCGTGAGTGTGAAAGCTTAATATTTCCTGTTTCTCCTAATCAGCTTTTCTCATCCTTGAATATCTTTATGTATTCCTGGGTAAAACGATCTAGTTTATTAGGGATACTCTAGGGAGTCTTTACAAGGTTGTATTAATTGTCCAATAACTGACTAGAAAGGATGAGAACTGATCAATGTAGCTCATGCAAAGTGTTCTCATGGAAGTCAGCAGACAATACAAAACACAGATCAGATTACATTCCTG